GATCGTTTTAGTATTTAGCTGAATAGTTTTGTTCTAATCGATTCATTTCGAATTCAACAAACTATCATTGTCAATAACTCATTCAAAACGAAAATAATCTAAAACGTATGCCTCATTATAAAAACCAGAAAATACGAATCGTTTACAATAAGTATTTTTGCTCGTATAAAATGAAACATGAAGTGGGAAGCTTTTAGAACAAAATTAACATCGATATTGAATAGATTGAACAAAGCCTTTTATCATTCAATCAAGAGTTTCATCTAAACCCTCTTATATATAATACTAATTTCTTTGATCATGTAATGCACTCTAAACACAGGAAAATGTTTGTTTCTGGTGAGCGAGTTAAGAATGATCTAGTACATTATACACAAGAGAGCTAAAGCATAGTCTAAACCAAGAAGTTTAAAGTTTTGTGATTGTCTCAGTGTCTAACAGAACAATGAGATTCAAATTTCCTATTGGCATCTTGTAACACAAATTCATCCACTTCAGTTACCATTACCTAGTTCAATAATTATGAGAATTGTTTTCATTCAAACAAGAATGATCTAAACTGTTTGTTACATGAGTATATTTGATTGCGCTTGTTTATCTTGAGTGTTCAGAGGCTTTGCAGAAAAATTCGCCTCAAAAAGTACTTTTATGATAAGGCGAGATTGAACGAGATATTAGCTCTCTCGTGAATCTTTGAATTGCATGATTCACTATCTGTAACTGTTTAATTAATTGTGTAAAATAAGTAATCAGCATTCAACGTCAATATTTTTACCGGTCAAGTGTCTGAATACAAGAGAATAGAATTCAGAGAGATCTAGACAAAATGGTTTAATCTTGTTATATTTTCCTATTTTTACAACAGTATAACCCTTAGGATACACATCGATAAAATGAATAATAATGATGAAAGACTTTACAGTCAATCAGTTCTCATAATTAACATGTATAGCACAAAGAAAGTTTGAATATTTAATAATTGTATTAGAAGATTTCGTAAGATATGAATTTATTATTTTTATAAATTTAAAGATAAAAAAATGATTTAAAAATACATTCATACTATATTTAATAAAAGATCTCGGATAGTCATCGCTTCATGTTTTATCGAAGTTGAGATGACTATCGTCATGGATCGAGTGTTCTAAGATAGATTGCAACTGCTGGACACTTGGCCGATCTGTAGGTGTTTTACTCTTGTAAACCCAAATAACTTGACCATTTCGATCAGTAATAGCATTACCACCCATTTGATTTGGATCATCATTTTTGTCTAATCGCGTTGGTAATTGTTTTCCACTTAATTTTTGTTCAACATAATAATCCAACGTTTGAACATTCCACACTCGAGCATAGGCTTTAGCAGGAAATCCAAAATGTCGGTAGAGACGACGATCACTGTCACAATAGATATCAAAAGGACATTCAACTTCATTTTTCCATTGACGGGCACTATCAATTGATGATGTAAAACTAATAATGACAATATGACATTGATCTAAAGTTGTTAACAGTTGCACATGTTCTCGTCAAGGTAATCAAGCAAGATGACGAAGAAAAACAAATAAATTTCGATCATGATTTGTATATATATTTTTCAAATCAATCAATTCATTATTATTAACATTCAATAGTGGAACATCAGAAGGTAATGTTGATGGATACGATGATGAAAGTATAGATTGATTATCGAGTTCAGATAGAAAGTTATTCCATCGAGTTCGAAGATTAGAGAAAGAAGAATTTTCTAGATGTTGTTTTAATTCATCATAACCAGACAAATTAAGCAAATTACAGAGATTGGATAGAATTGATATGTATTTACCTAATGATGAAATACGATCCTGAGAAAAAAAATCATTAGGATTTGAAATAAATTGTTCATGAGCAGAAGAAAGAATAGAATTTAATTGACATATTGCATCTTCTATTATTTTAGATTTATTCATTATCTAAAATAAGAAAAATAAAAATATGTCAAAAAATTAGATTTTTAAATGCTGAGGAAATTAAATTTTTCTTTAAAAAAACTAATCCTTTATAACACTAATGTAACTGATGGAAAACAATTTATAATAAACAAGCTTAAATTTTACTGAAATCTTTTTTTCATCGATTAATGACGTCATTTTCACAGTAAAGCAATGCTTTGATGAGCGTTTAAAATAGAAATCTTAGATAAAATGATTTTGCATACTCCGCTTACACTAGCAAATTGTACAATGACAATGTTTTTTTCCAAAAAAAAAATTTTCAGAGGAAAACTACTGAAACTCCGACTTTTTCGTTTGACAAGTAATACCAAATGATGCGAAAAAAGAAGCTGATAAGTGAAAAACATATTTTTGTGTTTTTTTTTAATATAATCAAAACGCGATTGGAGAATAGGAAGAAAAAGCGTGTGAAGTATTCGAAAATAAAAGAACAAACAGCATTTACTATTGAAAACAATATGTTATTGTATTCAACAAAGGGTGCTGCGTACATTTTATTTTCTGATCAAATTGTAAAATAACTTGTATATTAAGAACAGCAGATATTCCGTACATTTCCTTCTGCTATATACACTTGTCACATATAGAGACTGTCTCTAACAAACATATTCAATCTTTTCTTGTTATCGTTTTTAATGGCAGTTACTTTAGAGCGTAGAAAAATGCACATTAGACATGCATTATAATGTTTTTCTTTTGCCATAAATATATGTTAGTAGCAATTAATGAATAACAAGAAAACCTTGATGTAAGTTTTTGAACATAGATTGTTGTCGATGAAAGTATTGTCTAAGGCAAGAAAAAGATAAGAACAAGTTTAATTAAATTAAAAATGAAACCTTTAGTGATATTACAAGATTAACTTATCTATTCGTATATATCTTCATTGAACTTAACCAAATATTTTGACATTTAATAAATAAAGATCTGAAATAATATTTTTCTTCTGATTCACTTGACACATAGAATAAGAAAGGTTGTTTTCATCTTACGTGCACTCTTTTCAACTATTACACCTTTTACTATTAATTGTCATTGTCAAATAAAATCTATTTGCTCTATTTGTGTTTTTCTGTTTTTTTCTTTGTTATCTGTTTTTTTTTTGTTATCTTGTTATTCTTTTACTCTGATGTTGTTCTTCTTTGTTTTTATGATCATCAACGATAAAGTTTATATGATGTATGGAGATTGACTTCAAACGAAACAACAAAATAGCAAATATACATCCAAATTAAAAAATATAGATTTCATGAAAGCATGTTTTTATTATCGATAGCAGTTAAATGTATTGTTAAAAAGAGAAAAGAAAAAAAAGCCTAGCGCTATCTTTTGTTCTTTGTCAAAAGAGAAAAAAAAAACTGACATAGTTGAATTTTTCAGTAGTTGTTTTTATTCCTTTCTCTCTTTACTCGTCAACTTGTATATGAAGTAGACGCAAAGTAAAGAAATGGTTTTATTTTTTACCTCAAATAACTAAGATGTCTTAGTAAGCGTATACCAATTAGAGTCATCTATATTCAGATAGTAATAGTAGTACAAGTAGCAGCAGCAGGTGACCTTGAAATACCAGCAAACGATACTTGAATAACAAACTTTGACAAATAATATTTGTTGTTCTGTTAGACGCGCACCAACATTACCGTCAAATCTTTCGATCAACACACTAAGACAGGAGGAGAACGAGACAGAGGCAAAAAACACGGAGAGGAAAAAGAATTTATAATAGTGGAAAAAAAGAAGCACAAAAAAAAAGCCAAGAAAAGGTAAAAACATATATATACGTATTTATAATCAAAATGCTCTAGTAGCAATACCTGATTACTGATAAGTTTTCATAAATTATACAGACTATGTGCATTTTTCTTTCATTACGCTCATCATTATCGGAGTGAGAAAAGCAATTAAGTGGCTCGATTGGTTGATCAAATAAATCGAGTGAAAATACTTTACCAACTGATACTCGTTAGCATTATTATACTTTACACAACAACAATCTATAGGTGAGAGAGTGAGAGAAACATGCTTTTATATACGATTTCTTATAACATATGTGTAAATATCTTCAAACTATTTTGATTAATATGAATATTTATTTATTTTTACTTTTTCTCTATTAAGTATGTATATTAGTTGAAAAAAGAAATATATTGTTCATTATATTAGATTATTTAAGATTTGATTATAATATGCCTATGTTTGTCGTTTACAATCGATTTTTTTCAGTAGTGAATATAAAGATACATATATATATATTGATTATACATGCAGGTGTTAAAATAAAATATAAAAGAAAAGACTAATATATCACTGTCTTAAGCCCTTTCTTGACATTTATTAACATTAATGAGATATGGTAAGAGTAAGCTAGTTGTGGTTTTGTTGCTCTTTGTATACTCTTGTCACGAGTTTTTATTTTAGTTTCTTTACTTCCTTTCTTGTTCTGCCAATGAATGTAAGTTACGATAATTTTTTTTTCTCAGTTAAAAAGAACAAGAATAATATTAGAGCATTTATTTTTTCTAGCTCGGGAAAAGTGCGGTAAGTAAAACCCACGTGCCATTATCTCGCTATTATTTAGAATAAAACTTTTTATGGTTTCTTTTTTTGCGTCGTTTATTTTTAGCTATATAATTTTTTTTTATTAATGTAGTGTGTACTTGGACGATGCCTATGAAAATATGAAGGTGGAAAATGTTGGAATAATTTCCGATCCTACTAAAGAAATGAATAATACAGTTTGAAGAATAAATTACCTGTTGAAATAAGAAATTTAAATTCTTTTACTCATATTTTTATGCGTAAGAAAAAGAAAAGAAGGACTAATATTTGTCTGTTGTGAAAGCCTCAATTTTTTTATTCATCTTAAAAATATGTAAATCAATATTTTTACATTTAAGCTTCTATTGACTATTAGTTGATATTTACAATTTAATTTGCATTTGATTGAAATATATTCAGATTAGAAGGGTTCAAGGCAATTGTTAAATAAATAAAATAATTTTATAGATGGCTACCTCAACTCGTCAGTTTGGTCGTCGAGGTGCAAATTATGTTACGACAGCTACTGCTAATAATACTAATATAGGTGGTATAGTGTCTACTTCATCAACAGGTTCCATAGGTGCACCACCTCGTCGCTATGTTCTTGATGTACCAACAAGTCGTACAAGTCGTACGGCAAGAACAACCTATAGAATGAATGATGACTATGATGAAACAAATACAGGTAATCGTTCAGCTGGTGGATCAACAAGATATTCAACTGTTTTTACAACAAATATTAATAATGAAAATGATGAACGATTATCACGTTCAGGTTCTCGAGAATATTATTATCGAGATGAAAGCAGTGACCCATCAGCAACTACTGTAACACGTTATTTAGAAGATGCATCTATGAAACATTTACTTGAATCAGGTACATCATATGCTAATACAGTAGTTGAAGATCAAGAAGTTCAAGCATTAACAGCAAAAGCAACACCTGATGTCAAAAATTATCCGATCAATGTTGATTCTAATCCTGAATTAATTGTTCGACCAAATACACAACGATTAACATATAAACAAGATATTGCTGTTCGATATTTAAGACCTAATACACCACCACCTCCAGGAGTAAGATTTTAAAGTTCACTTAAATAATTTATAATTCACAAGAGAAGAAAAGAAAATATTTATAAATGAATTTCATTCTTTTTCTTTTTTTTTATTTTCTAGCCTATTGTTATTCGTGAAATTCGTGCACCACCACCACCACATGCTCCACCTATTATTCTTCGTCAACGGCCTCCACCACCACGTACACCTTCACCGATTATTATTCGTGAAAAACCACCTTCACGTCCAAAATCAGTACCAACAACAGTTATTAAAAGTACTTCATTTTCATCAAATCATTTCTGTCAGAAAATATTCAATATAATTTTTTTTTTGTTGTATTCTCTAGAGGTTATTCCACCACCACCACCTCCACCTCGTAAGTTAATTATTGAACGTCTACCTAATCTTCCACCAAAACCACGTCCTGTCATTATTGAACGTTGGCTTCCATATCATAAACAAAAACGTCAAGTTATTCATGAAAAAGCCAAACCATTAGAACCAATGACTCGTATAAAAAATACAATTATTGAATGGCGTCCACCAGAAGTTGAAGTTGTTAAATATGTCAAAAAACTTGGAATTCAAGATGCTGATCCACAACGATATTATAGTCAACATGGAGATAAATTATATACAACAGAATTTGTTCAACAAAAATTAACTGAATTAGGTTTACAAGAAGAACTAACTTTAATGCAACAACAACAAACATCTGCTGTAAACGAAGAAGTTGCTCTAGAAAAAGCTGATGAATATAATGTTCGACAAATTCTTAATAGGTAAAAACTAATCTATTTTAGCTATTCGTTTTTAGAAATAAGAAAACTTTTATGTTTAAGTTATGAACCATCATCATCTTCAAGACACACATATACGACAAATACTGGTGGTAGTGGAGTGCGTCTTGTTCGTTCATATTCTCATTCTGGTATTACAGATGACTATGGTGAACAACAAATATTATATGATCGTTCACCTAATAATTCAGCAACAGTTATCTATAATGCAAATAATTATAATTTTGATCAAAATTCATCAACTTCACCAGTTCTTACAGAAGAAATGCTTTTACGATCACATGCAAGTAATAATGGTAAATTTCCTACACATCTTTTAACAAAACTTGGTTCACAAATCTATGATATGCCATCTGATCAAGTTGACTTGTCAAATAATGCTAGACAAACAACAGCAACAACAACACGTTATTATACAGTTAATCAAGGAGAAACAGGTTATGAATCAACTGGTGATACAGGATCTGGTTATACAGAAGAAAAATACGTACAAATAACATCATCTGATTTAAAAAATATGTTACCTAATTATGAACTTTATTCAAGTACAGGACAAAAATTAGAAGGAGAACAACTTAATTTTTAAGAAAAATAAAAAACTTGAATAAGAACTGATCTTTTCTTTCCTTTTCTTTTCTTTTCTTTTTTTCTAATTATCACTATTGTTTTGTTGAAAAGCTAGTAGTGTATTAATTTGCTGCTATTTTATTTTTTGCGTTTATATTATTATTTTATTTGACTAATCCATGTGTTGTATATCCCGAGTAACAAAATAATCCTTGTCCATTTTTGTGTTTGTACATAATAGAAAATATTTTGAATAATTATTATTTCAATCGAGAGTACATGAATTTTTGCAATTATTTTATCTATTGTCAAATCGATGGAATACAATCCAATATGGTACATCTTATTTCTTTTTAAAAACAAAACAAAGTTATATGATGTACACATTCTGTTCTGACTTGTTTTCTTTATTGACGTAAGCGCTGCCAATTTTTATTCCTTTTAGTACGATTTTTTTTTAAAATGTTGTTAAAGTATTTTAAGCAGATGACAGATACCCCACGCAAAATTTCATTTTAATATTTAAATTCAGAAGAAAAGTAAGAAGCAGAAAAAAGTAACAGTTTAAACGAACATTCGAAGTAAGTAGAACAACTATGTGAATTTTACTTTTCAAACAAAGAAAAACATCATTTTAAGTATAGTAGTAATAGATCTAAATTTAATTTTTTATTTCAAATTTCATAGATATCAATGTCGAGTGTTGGAGCAGCATATGTTACTAAACAACCACGTGATAGTGAAATTCACAATTCATTTGCTTTAATGGGAAATGAACATTTCATACGTAGTTGGGAAATGAGAGAAGAAAGTTGTGATTGTTCAGGTTCACATTATACAACTCTTACTGATACAAGATTATTGCTGCGAACTATGGATACAACATGTTGTAGTTGCTGTTGTGAACCAGGCCATATAGATGCTTCGATTTTTTTACGTGATATAGCTGAAATACGTGAAACAACAGAACGTGAAGATTGCTGTTCTTCCTTATGTACTAAATGTTGTGGATGTTGTGGATGTTGCAATTGTTGTTGTGATACAAAAAAATATCTTGAAGTACGAGGTGTATTCGGCTCGGAAATCCTACACGTATCAAAAGGAGAAATGTTAAAACTACAAAGTGAAATTCCAGCAGCTATTGGTAATCATAAACTTGTTAGTCAGTATTAATTTTCATAAATAAAATGAATATTTCAACAGATACTGTTGCTTTTTACTAAAAACTGTCTAATTCTCAAATCATTCAACTAAAATAAACAGTTACATGCAAGGATAGAATAAATCACCTATATCTATATACACATATATATATATATACATATTTTTTTGTTTTTGTTTTTTGAAATATGAAGTTCCTTCTTCTATTACATACTATAATCGACAAATATTATGTCGTTCGATTACAGGTAAAGAGAAATAACTCAATCAGACAAACAAAGAAAATAATCGGTTATTTTTCTTACGCCTACAAGGTGTAAATTTTCATCCATTAAAAAAAAGACTATTCTTGGAATTAAACGAATTTGAAAACATTTACTGTCCCGAACTCGCTTTTTTTTCCAGCAAAAAAAAAATAATTTTTGATGCATTGAAAGCTGCTCTCTTAACGAGTGACAACGGCGGGTTTTTCGTTATTCGTGTGACTTAGAAATGATGCTTACGACGAAATATTCTCAATGATGTTTTCTAATACTTGAGGAAAAAAGCAAATAATGATTGTCACTTGAAAACAAACCATTCCAATTCATATCGCTTAATCTCTTCAAGCATACATTTCTCGTCATATGGCAGACAAACGACAGAAGCTTTTTCTTTTCGTATGCAAGAACCATATTTACTCGAACCTGCAAATAATTTTCATTATTTATGTAGTTTCGTGAACTATAACTAATTTAATCAAATAATCTACTAATTTAAAATAAATAAATAGAAAAAAAATACTTACAATGTATTGAAAATTATAACTTTCATGTTGTTGTTCACGAAACTTATCCCTTAACTATGATAGATTCATTATGTATTCAATTTTTATTTTTACATTCAATATGAATAAAAATGACAAGATATTTTGAAATCGATTCAATATAACTATTGATGACACTTGATAAGATTATTATATCATTCAAATTATCAGTAGAATAGATATTGTTACATGTATTTTATCAAATCTAATACATAAATCTCAATTCACGTCTACATAGAGTTCAATAGATGAGAGTTAGTTTGTTGATTAATTATTTTATTCAAAACATTTTTTCAAGTAATTGATTTTCCATGAAAATAATATATTTGCATATAAAAAAAACAGTTAACTATAGATTTCCTAGTCTCAAAACAGATGTCTTCTTTGTGTCCTGAGATGTATTTTATTTAATGTTTTCTTTTACGATTATAATACTTTTTCGCGAAATGTTCGAAATAAAACACGATTAACAAAGTCATAAGAGTCATTCGTATTATGAATTTACTATTTGTTCATATCTATTCGGTTCATTTCTATACTACCACTATCTTATAACAATATAAAACGATTTTTAATCCTGCATAGAAAAAAAAAAAATTCAACATGTAAAACATCAAAAGTAATTAGAAGCCATATAAGAAGACATCTGTCTTTTGTTAAGTGTTGTGCAAGACTTAATTTCTTCTTTTTTACACTTAATATTAAACAAATATAAACACAAGAGTACAGCACAATATAATCTTACCCATTGTGTACTGCAATATTTCATACTATTTTTTAAATTATTTTGTAATCAATTTAAAGTATGATAGTAAAATTTGATTGCATCAAAAAAAAAACACAAATAATGATTCATATTATTTGATCTAAACTTATACAACTAAAAAAAAAATGAAAACAAGTAAATAATAAGACCTGTGTAATTTGAGAAGAGGACATCGACGACAAAAAAAATATAGTAATAATGCCATGAATCCTATTTCTAACACTTGTTGAAAGCTATTTTTTTTGCATTTTTATAAATAGAACTATAAAATACATTAAATTTGATTTAGTTTCCAAACTTTCCTGTTTTCATTATTAGTAACGAGATGTTTTTTTCACTCTCATTAAATCAAAATTACATAGGAACACTTAAATTATTGCCATCAATATCGATATAAGTGTCGAGAAAAGAATGTTTCAGTGAGTTGTCAAACATTGGTTTTTTTTTCAACTGCAGATGATACCAAGGCAGCGAAATGTAATCATAAAGAAACAATATTCAAAATGGCATTGAAGGCTTTTTCTCGATATTTTTATATTAAAAAAAATGTCATAAATGATGTAACGAGTATATAGCATTAGCAGTACTACGAAGAAACAAATGCAGATCTATATTTGCGAGAATATTTCTGAATTTTTTTTATTTATGATGGTTTGTTCTATTATACTGACAAAGATAAAAAAGCAGTTATAAATATTTAGGCCCTTGATTTAATTAATTATAGTGTCGATCAAACTAGTAGTCTTGTTTATTAATCTGAACATTTTATTCTTAGTAGTCGTTGGTATGTTTGATGGTGAATATTTACTTTATGATTGATGAATGGAACAAGAATGTAACCAATAGGATAGTACTCATTACAACTAAATTATTTATAATAATCTTAGTTCCTGTTGTAAAACAGCTCATACCAGTCGAACTATCTTTTTTCACATGACATTATATAAATATTTAAAATAACACAAGCAAGATGTTGTTTAGAAGTTTTATGCGCTAAATTTTTGCATTTTCTTTTCGTAGTGTTAAAAATCTAGGATTATATATTTTAGTTAACTCTTACATTATTTATCTATCAAGTAAAGATACAACTATTGCTAAATCAACAATTGTACACCACATACACCATCTAATCGACATTGAACTTTTTTCTTTATATAGATGTTTTAAAAAAAGTTCTTTATCTTATTTCTTTCTTTGCTTTGATAATAATGAACGAGACTAATCGTTCGAAGTGTTTTTATTACAAACACAAGCTTGTCCATGTTAACATTATTTTTTATTATAACAACTGATGATTAACATTAATAACTATGTCGTAAAATAGTATGATAATGCTTGTTAAGAAGTTCAAACAAAATATTCAATAATACTCTATATCTTTGTCTATCACTATCATCATATTTTTTTAATTCTTTTCACAATAATAAAAACTATTACTCAAACAACTACATGAATGAATCAAATAACAATAATTGACTTGTGAATCGTATTGCTTTCATCTTACATATAAACCATATAAGAGAGTTATTTTTATATAAAATAATTCTAATGAGTTCAGCTTTTAGGTTTTGTTTGATCAATCAAAACAATCGGCTAGCCATAACTAATTTATCGATTGCACATATATGAAACTCTTTATGCACTTCTCAATAACCTACATTAAAAACAATGAATCAATTCTTTACTTGAAAAGGAAAATAAAGAACATTTAGTATGTGTAGAATTTATGGTCTTTTTTTCATGCTTGAATAGATCCATACAGTCAATATAAGTCAATAGTTAAATTCATTTGCTAATGTGAGAATTGAATAATTCAAGATTTGTGTTCTTTTTTGAAATATTTAACAGTCTCATGGTTATATGTCTACATAAAAGAATTACTAGTCATCATTAAAAACATTATGTATTCAATTATTATGTGAAGATGTAAGCTAATGATAATTATTCTCATGTACATTATAATAAAAGCTGTTTAGATTATTAGAAGAGAATGTTACATTAGAATCTGATTGTTATCAAATGATCAGTAATATGTCAATAAATGATGAAGTTTTCTCATGAGTAATATCGTGTATAATGATAATAGAAGAAAAAGTCATAAATCATTAAAAAAACAAAATTTTTTTTGTATTTAGAGTTCTCGTATTTTTTTTTATTGGAACTTTTGTTCAAATTTAATCTAGTTTCTATGATATACAATTATTAAAAGCGAGATAATGCATAATTGATATTTTCTTAACTAAAGTATATTGAAGTAGCGAAATGCAACATGACATTTGTTTATTAA